TGGTTCCACTCTTCCTGGAGCTACTTCTGTATTGACTACACACAGAAATCAAACAAAAGAAGAACATGTTTTCCAAAATGTTGGTTGAGGTATTGGCTTTAACTTCAGAAAGGGAATTTTTATTCTAAAAAGCTGCAAAATTATACAAAATAACCATAGTCAACGGTCAGCGTGGATTTTGCTTGTGAGTCCAAATCAGCTTAATGAAAAAAAAAAACTATTCATTCTCAGTTTCCACTGCTGCCAACAAACCAATAGTAGCATTTAGCAGTGTTTATCTAATCTGCAGTTCTTGTACTATTCTGGCAAAGTAAAGCAGCACTCAGATGCACCATGTGTTGTGTGGTGTTCGAGGCACTCTGTCTTTGTTACCATTAATTCACATGGTAATGTTGGCAGTGAGCCAGCCTATCAGAGAGCCACTGGAGAGCAGCGTGGGAGCTCTGTCTTTACTCAATAACCGCAGAGACATGCACACTCCACCGACCTTGAGAAAACGTGTGAATATATCTCCCCTTCGCCTTCTTATTCTTGTATCCATGATGTGTTTCTCTGCACATTTTCATGCAGAGTAAAAGACATCCTAGAGATTTTATTTTCCACTGATTTGCTTTCATTTTAAAACAGCCCAAGGGACCGAATATTCTCTTTAAGGGGATCCATTTTGGATATCTCTAAAAAGATTTTTTAAAAAAGCAAAAATGAAAGGATGATACATTTGGCACATTTATATTTTAGTTAGTGAGGAATTAACTATTTAATAAATCCCTCCTCCAAACAGTGATTGTCCAATCATAGCTTAGCAACTGTAACCAGGGATCGCAGGTTTGTCTGACATTGGCTCTCGACATGCTGAAGCAGTGTACGACTATATTTTCATAGTCGACTAGTTGTCGTTAGTTAAAGCCAATAGTTTTCATACGTTTATGATATTAATTTAATCATTTAAATAGATACATATCTATATTTTATCAGCCGCCTGTTAAATGGAAAATCCAGTAATTCTGAATGTGTCGGAACAATTGACTTAACGTCTCATTCAAAACATGGAGCACATAACTTCCAACTTCTAAACACTTTTAATGTTTAAACACTGCTATGTTGCTATTACATTACATTTTTATATTGATTATTCATTTTAATACTGAACCGCAGTACTAGGACTAACTATCTCTAGTAAATGCAAGAACAATGTAGCTTTAGTCTCAGTGTTTTCTAAATAATTACATACTGTTATCATCAAATAAATATTAAAAACCTTTTGGTTTTCCAACGTACTCACACAGCTTACGTTAGCAAAATGAACACCATGCTGTATGGAAGAGAGCTTCAAACTAGCAATTGAGATCTTAAACTTATTAGGAGCATTTAGAGTTGGAGATCAGTGGAGCTTCCCCTGCTGGCCATTAGAGAGAATGCAGGTTTAAGTTACCTCCACGTTGGCCCCACTTCCCAAACCCAGAAAAATGTTCTGTCAATGGCTACAGCTAATAAAAGCTTCATGTCACAGTTTTCATCTCTGTAACATCGATTTTCCCCAACCAAACTTGCGGAGCTCCTTTTGTCAACATCTGTGTGAAATCAAAGACTTATTGTTTGAAAAAGAATCTTGATCAATTCACCGCCACTATTGTGTAACAGTGCAGTGCCAGATTGGAAAGCTTAAAAGGCATAGCAACAGTAACTAAGGGGATGTGGTGGGGCAAGCGGGTCAATTGATGCACTGGAAAACCATTTCATTAGCCTGGAACAATACTCAATAGTCTACTTACTGATTATACAGTAATTAACAAATTGAAACAAGTCTGATGCACTGCAATCAGTGTTTTATAGTTCTGTGGTATTGAGTTTTTAACAGAGAGTCTATGTCAAGGACCATCACAATATATATACATTGGACTATGGACCCCTAATTTGAGAGTATTTTTTGTGTTTTTAGGTTTGAATATAATAAAGTCTTCATAGTCAATCAATGATCACGGTCCATCACTACAAATTACAATCAAGCCAACCCTGTTTCTTCCCTTGTTGTCCCAATTTCCAAGAAATGTGATAAGAGTTAAAATATTAGATTCCTCCTTTTGCTGGGAACCCCCTACAACCCACTCAAAGACCCCCGTTCGGGCCCCGGACCCCAGTTTGAAAGCTGCTGGTGTAAGAAACAGTTTGTGGATGTTCATTATTGCTTGCAGCGAGCGGTAATAATTCAGTCTTTCACACTGTCCTTGGGGATGTCTGACTGTTAAGTGTGTTAGGGGATATTGTCTCACAGGGGACAAACATCCTATCCTGTTTACATCTGACTGTATCTTTTAAATGACTATATGAGGATTTAAAATACAACTGGAGAGGGATTTGAAGTCTCTTGAGCAAAATGCTTTTTTTGACAAATTGATGTTGATCCAGTGACTCCCATTCATTTCCAAACAGCACGCAAATAAGCACCATTCTTCTAATCAGCTACTCTAGCTGTTTAATTAATTTGAATTCATTCAGTAATTACAGTATAACTCAGTGTAATGATCCTTTCAAGCCACTTAAAATGTCATAGCAGGTGAGTTTTGTTTATATTTTGTGCAGTTCCATCATAGCTGAGATGATAAAAAATGTTTAATCCATGCTGGACAGGAAAGTTTCTGAAAATGCACACTCCCATCTATTCCAAGGAAGAAGTTTTGTCAAAATCCAGCAGTGTGGAAAATGTACTGTATCTAGGTGGCTCACTGCTAACAGCAGGTATTAATAGCTTTTAATTCCCCTCTGTCTAGTCATACTGCAGCTATTTCTTGCTCCAGAGGGAGCAGGGTGTTGCAGAGGGTGTCATACAAAATGCTATAGGTTATTACCTATCTGCTGATCTGTTTACTCTTGGAGAAAAATGTAGCCGGATATGAAATGCCCTTTATTCTCAAAAGTAATTTACAATTTCACGAGTAGTAATTAGCTGCATTAAAAAGCCACCCCTGTTACACATGCTCGGTATTAGGAAAGAAAGTCATACTGCATTACATCCATTAAAAGGTGCATTTAGGAGGATCTATTCTATGGAGCCTGTCTGTACTTTCTCCTAGACGCTTAGAAGGCAAGTGGTATTTAAATAACCTATCAAGAATTATTGATGAGCAGTGTCAGTGTCAGTAAAACCAAATTGAAATCAAAGAAATTCTACCTCATAGATCTTCATCTCAGCAGGCACAGTTAATAACATAATGGCTGCCTTTCATTTAGATGCTCCAGTGCCAGGGCTTTTTTTATTGCACAAGCTGGCTTACTGCTCAGGGCCTCGTTTCCCATAAGCATGTTAAGGCTAAGATGATGGTTATATTGATCTTACAAACCTCCTGAAACCTTTGTATCACAAAAGTAAGAATTTCCCTTTTTGCGTTTCCACAGACAGAGCAGCCTTGGAATACCCAATGGCAGAGCCAGCGATGGCCATGGCTATAGCAATATACGTTGTTTTGTGTTAGTCCTCATTTGCCCTGAATCTCTACAGTGGAGGTCACCATAGAGCTACAAAGGCCACGTCGATGTCAGCCATCATCCAGCTGGATGTATGCATTAATTCCCTTGAGTATAGCAAGGGCCTGTCATGGACCCGCCAGCAATTCTAGACAGCTGCATCTGTAATATACTGAATTTTTCCTTCACTGCTGTTGTCAGCTTAAGTGCATAAATACCTAATAGCCTATTTCTGTAATGTTGGATTGGATTATTCACAGTGCATTCAAACCGGAGTCCTGCACCAGGTCAGGCACAAGTAAAAATGAACTAAATGCGGGCAGGCAGTGGGCGACTACAAAAATGTGTTTTTTCTGGAGAAATCAGAAATGAAAATCACTGTGTGGTTTATTGTAATTTCTAAATCTAGATATAATTAAGCCTAATCAGACGCCAGAATTTTTCTTTTTTGTGAAAGCCGCAAGCTCGCTCATCCTCTCTGAGAAAACATGCAGCTGCAGCAGGAGCACAGGTGCTGCACCAGTTGACAACAACACTTTTACCATTAACACAACTCTCAAACCACCAAAACAGGAGGACAAAGATGGTGTCCCAGTTTTTTGTGCCAGGACATCGGAGCGTGGTGTTCAGCTCGCTGCATGGACGCAGCATACTGAGTATCAACATAGCTGGTGAGTGATTCAGCCAAATAGACTATGCCTGTAGCATGTGTGTTTAATCAGGGGTCAGGTTGTAGGCATTATATTAATGGGTCAGGGAGGGTCCGGATTTGACTTGGTGATAATTGCAGGTAATGGGTCAGTTTCCGGTACTGAACTCTGCTGATGCGGGCAGGTGCACGTTTGCAAAACTGGACTCGCACAGGACTCTGATTCATACCTATTCCTTTCTATCTCTCTGGTAGCAGGTGCTTTGACATCTACATCTGATGAAACTGTGTCAGTCTGCCTTTAAAGTAACCCATTTTAAACCACTTTACATGCATACCATCATCTTTTATGAAACATTCAGCTGGCCGGTGCAGAGCTTCTTTCAGCCGTTTACCAGCAGAGAGCCTAAAACAGGCTCCAGGCCATGAAACCCTCATGCCACCCCCATCTCCTTTTATACCCCATCATCCTTAACCTCTGTGATGTGAGAGCCTCTATCGGCCTGTGAGGGGATAAAGTTGCCGCCGCCTCCCGTCTCACCCATCGCAGTCTGATCTTCCAGGGAGAAACAATACAAGACAGCTGGCAAGGAACCCCAGGGAAATATCAGGATCAAACCTGTAAGGAAAAAAGTCTGAGTGATGAAAACAGAGAGGGGGAGAAAGATGAGACGGGAAGCGAGAGACAGGAAGTAAATGGCTCAGAAAGAAGAGCAAGAGAGGGAAGGTGTCAGATAAGACGACAAAAAGAAGGTTCAAGGAGGAAAGGGAATGAGGGAGGGGGAAAGAAGAAAAAGAGGAGGAGGACGGAGGAGGAGGAGGAGGAGGAGGAGGAGGAGGAGGAGGGGAAGGTGAGCGGTGATGGTGAAGCAGAGAAATTGCATTTTGATGGAGGCAAATTGAATCAGCTCTGCAATGGAAGCCTCAGGGCAGAAAGACAGATTGAGACGGTCATGTCAGCACCGAGAGATTACTGCCTCCTGTGTGTGCATGTGCGTGCGTGCATGTGTGCGTGTGTGATGTGATGATTGCCTGCCGTCACCGTCTTCGGGTCTTGCACAAGGATATTTGCGCTCACACTATGACAGCAACCTATCTTTGAGGTAAATGAAAAGGAACACACACACACACACACACACACACACACACACACACACACACACACACACACACACACACACACACACACACACACACACACACACTTCATTGTCTGGATTTTCAAGTGAAATGCCATCAACATGTACTAACAGGATTACGGCCGCTGCAGGAAAAATAGAGCCAACACATTGAAGAGATATGGACACTCTCTCAGCAGCAGCATGTGCTCACTCACATTGTCATCTATCAGAAACTGTGAAGAAGCAAATACCTGGATGAGCCCACGTGATGGGCTCTTAATTTACACAATGAGGGTTTACACACCACCTGAGATAAGATAAACTGCATGTTTCCCACCTCTGCGGCACCTCCAGCAGTTAGTTTTCAGGGAAGCAATTTCACATTGTTAAAAGACCTTAATGTCACAATGAAATGAAAGATGCCTTTTAACCCTTTTTTAAGTCATATTGTTCACATATTTAACAGGTGTATGCCAAATAAAATCACAAAATATCTATTTCTTTGTCCAAATCGAATAATTTGTTCTTGCTGTAAAACAAGATTTGACTTGTGCTTATGTAAGCTTGAACCCACCTATTTCAACCAATAATATCATGATATCTACCATCGATCAATCTTCATCAAAGCTAAGCGATTGATGAGCATGGAGCCGAGTGTTTCTTAACCTGTACAAAAACACGTTTTCACTGATTTGTGTGAAACTGGATCATGTTTTACAGAGAAAATATTTTCACTCTGACGTCCTTCGGCTACTCGACCTCAACTGCTGCTGTGTCTGCTGTTCTATCAGCAAAGGAACCAGACCGGGGCTGAACACAGCCAGACAGACGGGGGCCAGGTTGACCGCAGTGGTACCAAGGTGATTTACAGAGTTTCCTAATGGATGTGTTGGGACTGGCACTGGGTCGACTGTGGCTCCCTTACTACATAAAATCTAATTGTTTCATCAGAGGTCTGGTTCTGTTTGTAACCACCGTACCTTAAAGTTGATCAGTTTAACTTTATTCGGGTAAAACTAAGTAATCTGGAGTTGAGAAAAGTATTGTTTCCGACTCTGTATCACAGCATCATCAGCATTTATCATCAACAACAACAACAAGCGACGGTTTTGTTCTTTCTGCTGTGTGACTGAGCCCACTGTGCGGCTATATTTAGTTTGCCAGCCTGCTCCATAAAAACAGACCTAATGATGAAACTAGGGCAGCCCACAGTGACAGAGCCCCTTGCAACCTGAAGCAACGCTCTCTGAAGCCCTTGATGTTAATAATAACAACCTCAAGAACCAGCTAAATTAATTTTCCAGCAACATATTCTGCTGTCTAAGTTAAACTAAACGCCTGAATTCTTATCCTGCAGTGTGTTAGTCAGCAGAAGGTTAATAATTAAAACTTGATCTTTTCTTAATTGAGTTTTATGAAATATAAGACAGATTGATGATTTATGGCAACTGGTTAGTATGCAAACACACCACCAGAGAGGAGGATGAGGCTCCCCTAGCTGCCATCTGTGTTTTGAAAATTAGGGAATAAAGAATGAGATATGGATCCAAGATAAAATAAAGCAATTTAATTTTAATATTAAAAATCTTCAAGATAGATGGATAGATAGTCATCAAAAATGCAATGCAACAAATCACCCCTGCAAATCAAAAGCAACTCAATCTAACTTTAACATATTCAAATATTTTAAAAAATCAGGAAAGTAAAAGGCACGACTTCCCTCCACGGAGGCTGAGTTGGCGTCGGAAGGCAGTGAGCGCTCCTGGATTGCTGTGATGAATAATTAACCAGAGGGAAATTGGGATCCCTTTAATGAAACCAGCCTGTTACATCACTGCCGTAGAGGAATACTCAGTCATTTACTCATCAACTTATATTCACATTTGCACACATTTCCACAGAGACATAAGTCCAGGATGAGGAAAAGAAAGTCTGTGAGCAATATGTATGCATACACACACTCACCAGCTGCACTGCATCACCACTCCATCAACCAGCACTACAGCATCCCAGCGGCACTCTGAAATCGGTTTATATGGAGTTCATTTGCAAAACCAAAAAAAGCCATTGCACAGAAAATAAGATTTTGGAATAGACTATAAATGAAGACGGAGATATCTGTTTTCATATATTGTTTCTTTGTTTTGACTTGTAATTACAATCAATACAGCTGATTAGTTAAAGGAATAGTTGAGGGTTTTTTTAAAGTGAGTTTGTATGATGTACTTCGCTGTCTCCAAAGCCACCAGACTCCTTTGTCATCAGTTTCAGTCTCTCATCGGAAAGGGTTGTCTAACAGCAAGGTAAAGTGGTAAAAATATTCTTTCTATCCAAAAAAAACCCAATACATATCAGTATCTGTGGCTGTAGCGAGTGGAAGAGGTATGGATAATGGGGTAGCCCACCCTAGGCCCCCAGGTGAGACTGAAGGGTATTTTATTGCAGCCCATGGAGACTTTATATAGAATACAGGTTTAAGACACTTTCACATCAGCTTCAATTCACAGCCCCCGATGCTCTGTCCATTATATATACTGTCAGTGTTCCCAACTGTAAAGACGCTGTTTCCAAATGTGCAAAAACGTCCTTGTCCTCTTTTGGCAAATTATGCACAATAGCTGCAGTATCATGACAGTTTATATTTCCTGACACAAAAAGTACAAATTTAATTTGACTTTAATTTATTGGCTTTTTTTTTTTCAAGCTCAAAGGGGTTTACGAAAACAGAAATCACTGCAGTTAATTAAAAGAAGAAAAGTCCAGGCAGGCAAAGATTCAGTCACGTAGACACAGTTTTACCAAGTACCAGCTCCAAATTCTACCTAGATTACAGAGGTTTTCTGAAGTAAAGTGTCGGCTTTCCTGTCTTTCATCCTCCGTTCTCTTTCTCACCCTCTCACCGTTTCCCAATATCTATCTCAATACCCTCATATCTGTCTTTATCTCCATGTATTCATCCATATCTCCCTCCATCCATCCATCTCTCTGGGTGGCATGGAGCAGTAATAAAATATAATGTCAGGGAGGATGAAGATGTCATGTTGCAGGCTTATCGGCGTATCTCTATTTCCATGGATGAGATGGTGCTTTGTTATTAACAAGGTTGCCTGGAGCTGCCTACGCACCGCGTCACCTTCTATCTGAAGACAAGTCTTAATTTTAACACTGGGGAAAATAAGAAATCCAACTCTGCTGTTTGTGTTTTTGATGAAACATTCCCATATCTACCTTTTTGTTGTTTTTCCACATCCTCTTCTCCTAAAAGTTGTATTTTAGGGGATGGCATTTCAAAGGATTTTGGAATAGCAGTTGCATTTGCAGCAGATGCTTTTCTCACTAATTAATGCCAGCAAAGACAACTCTGACATTCGCTCACCAAACGCAACAGAAACACAAGCTCTCCCTTTCCCACACACTCACAGATAGAGCGAGCAAGGCATTGGCGCTGTTCATCTTTCCGCTTGGCACATTTACACCAGCTATAGGTTAATTGGCTAATCCCAAGTGGATGGAGGGATTGATGGCCATGAAGAGGCAGGGAGAGAGTGAGCAAAAGACTGACAGCAAGGGTAGACAGTAGAGAAAATAGTGAGTGGGAAAAGAGAAAATGAGGGGGACATCAGGGCCAATTTGCTGTTTTCTCCCATCATTAACTGATAGCTGGGGCGGGTCATTAGCTGAGTCTGTCCTGTACGCTGGTCTCATGGTGCAGGAGAAGGAACACCTGCTGAAGGTGGCAGATGGCAGCACAAAGAGCCCAGAAATAGACGTCCGCGAAGGGGAATGGTAGATGATTCAGCTCCTGCCCTATTTTCTAATTATTAATTTAAAAAGGAGAAATGTAGAGTTTGTCAAAGCTGAGAAAAAAGGATGTCCTCTGTCAGCCTCATGGCATCATTCTCAGCTATGAAACATTTAGATAGATAAACCCACATGGTCAAGCAAATGCGAGGCTGCGGTAAGGACTCGGCCTACATGGGGCAGCACGCTCTACCGAGTGAGCTACCGTGTGCCCCCGAGGCTGTACATTTCTAACTGAATTTCCAGAAAATTGGCAAAAGAAAATGCTAATTCATTGTGAATAGTTGGAGTTCATTGACATTTAAACAACTGGTGGCGCTAATACTCAAATCGGGAGCCATTAAACCATTACAGAAGAATTATGTATTGACGTATTCATTTGAGGAAGGTTACAGATTACAACTAATAATGTTACTGTAATAAAGTCATGTAATTTCACTCTTACTTAAGTATATATTAATCTACTTTGCTACTTTTAAAATGATAATTCACTATTGTATAATTGTAGACCAACAATTTATATCCAAAGTTTTAATCTGGATTTTTTGTAGCCAATACGCCAGGGACCATGTTAATCAATTCCTCTGTTCAGACAGAGCCGTGCCGGGAGCCAGCTCGCGATCAGAGAACACACTGCGGCCAAACTATCCGAAGTTTGGCGACTTCTAGTGGGAATCAAAAAAGAGAGGCAGTAATTATACACCTCACTACCTCACATCCCCTCCTCCACCTTCCCTCCATGGATCC